GCGAAAGTCATTAAATCGTTCCCTAAATATAGGCTCAGCCCCTTCCTTTGCTGCTTTCGTGCAGATTGTCCCCAGGAGGAGAGATGGCCACTTCCCAAGAGAAACATGAAAATAGACATTGAATCTGTGACTCCTTTGGGGGCACTGGGGCTGTCCCCAAGGATCTTCACACCGAGAGCCAGCCTGCAGCAACCCCAGGGGCTCTTCTAGCTCTGTTCAGCACAGTTTCATCAAGACCCCTTTGTTCTAACCCATCCTTCTCCTCCAGACCCTCCTCCCACAAACACCCCTCCTTCGCTTCTCCTTTTCTTCCTCAGTGTCCCCTCCCAGAAGCAGCCCATCAGCGGTAACTCGTGCTCGCTTCAGCCGGATTTTTAGACCCTTTGCCTTGCCAGACACATCGGCCATTGTACTCGTTTGGCACCAACAGCACCAGACGTCCTCCAAGGGATTAAAATTCTGCAGGCTCCTAGGGAATTTAAACTCAGATCCCTCAGGAAAGTCCTTCCTCTCAAAAACCCTTGCACTCTGTTTTCTCTAAGCACCACCAGCCACAGCGCAGACCTGAGGGCACCCACGCTTGTGGCATCAGCTTGTACCATCACGGAAGGGGACATTTAGAGGTGTCCTATGAGTGGCAAGGGGCTGAGAGAAAAAGCAACAGATACCATAGCATTGGAAGAGAGCTGCGCATCTTGTCCCGTGTTCGCACGGACACAAACATTATCCTGAGATATTCCAGAGGGCAGGAGTCTGAAGTGCCTGTGCACTCCGACCAGGTCTGGCTGAAGGGGCTCCGAGCCTCTGCTTGCAAACCCCTTCCCTACAAACAGGCCTGGCAGTTGCAGAAGTACCTTTGATGTGGTAGCATTGCTCTTCCTCGCTCCACACCATCCTGCTGCACCAGTACTGAGCCACGGCACCCACCACCTTCCAGCCTCCATCCTCCCTGAACAGCTTCTGGTCCTGGAGGGAGCCAAAGCCAGAGAAAGACAGGGTGATGAGAGACGCTCAGCCAGACCCACACTCAGGAGGAGGACAGGAGCTCTCAGGAGATGGACATAGCAGGAGAAAAGGTCAGAAAACTGGCCTGGATTGAGCCAACAGGATGCTGAGCTGCCCACGAGGAGCAAGGACAGAGGAGGCAGAGCTGAAGAAGGAACCCTGGGGTGCTACCGGCAATTCTGACGGGAGCAGACAACAGCAGAGTTTCTCTCCTGGGAAGGGACAGTGACAGTCACCAGATGCCCTGCAGGCCTGGCCACCGGGCCATCCGGGTGGCACACGCTCCCTTTACCTGCGTGGTGCAATAATACTGCTCAAAGGCCATCAAAACGTCCCCGGTGACATGGATTTCTTGGTCTCCATAGATCTCCTCAGGGCAGACTTCCCGGCCAGTGGCTGCACTCTCCCATGGGAACTTAGCACCCTGCCAGGAGAAGACATCCACGAGGAGCTGAGCACAACGTCCTGAGATGCCCCAGTCCATCACCTGCAGGCAATGCCCTGCTCACAGCTCCGGGCTAAAACTAGAGCCGGAGAGGAAGAGCAGAGCCCAACTGTCCTCCTGCGTGACAGTGACTGGGTTGCACTGCCCTCAGCCCGACATCTCCGTCCCCACCTTGTAGCCTTGCTCCTGCGCGTTGCGTAAGGCTCCTTCCAGCATGCGAATCCGGTACTCCAGGATGGCTCGGGCAGCTTCAGGATAAAACAGCAGAATGTTCGGGAACATCCAGGTGTCCTGGAAACATCCGAGCAAGGCAAGATGGTGGGACTGGCTGGTGGGGCACCCAAATGCTCCCACCAGTTTCACCCTTCACATCCGCCCTCATCCCAAATGCTCTGACTGTGATTTTGCTACTACTTAAAGGTGCTGTCCCGTGGGCTCGTTAAAAGGGATAAATCCACAAGGGACTGTTTCTGCCACGCCTGCCGCTCCCTGGTATCTCACCGGGATGGTCTCCACAGGACCTCACACCACGCAGGAGAAGGGAGGCAGGGGTCCTCCAAAGCCAGAGGCTCTGTAGAAGTGCAAAACTACAAGCATTGCCAGGAAGAAAGCACACAAGGTCCGCAGGACCAAAAAGCCCTTGCCCACTGAAAGACCAGACTAGGTTTAGCACAGGAGGCTCAAGACCATCCAACAGCATCTCCTGCTCACGCCATGGAATCGTTATCAGCTGCAGAGCTGTGCACCCACTTGGTGTGGCTGCTCCGAGAGCAGACCTCAGCCTCTGGCTGAGGCAAAGCCACCCTGCTCAGCCAGCTTATTGAGTACACACCAAACCTACGTTTAAAAGCTGAATGTGCCCATCCCAGAAAACACTTCTGTTTTTTCAGTGGTTCAGGCAGAACGGGGCTCGCCGATACCACTGAAGCTGGGAGGACGAGGGCAGGTTTCAACCTGCCTTGTTTTAAACAGCTAAAGTTGGTGGCTGTGCTCTAAGGCAGTTACTGACGCTCCCTTGGGCGAGCAACCTGAACTATCTTAGCCCCAGACTTCAGCCTGGGGAAGGGGGCTGCTCTGCGGCGGGGTCTCTCCCGGCCCCTCGCCCCCACTGGCCACACAGCAGCCCCCGGCACCCAGCTTCAATTTAGGCACTTTGAGGTGGAGGACAACCCAGATGAGTAACTCCAGGGACCAAGCTGGGTCTGGGTAGCTGTTACGAAAGGTGCAGGAGGATGCTCTCCAAGGAGAGGCTGGTGCGGAGGTACCCCTACCCGGGGGCGAGGAGGAGACCTCCCAGCAGCCTCCTCCTGAGTCTTCTCCACGCTGTGCAAAGCCCCCAGGTCACCAGCTAGCACTCCTTCCACCCACCTGGTCCCAGAAGACGTGTCCCCAGTAGTCCTCGCCCCGAGTGCCGTTGGACAAACCACCAGGGCTGATGCCGTGGAAGAGGAAGCCCGGGTTCCCCCCGGGCGGGATGGCGCTCAGCAGGTAGTAGAGGCACCCGTAGACGGCCTGCCTCAAAGGCAGAGGTCCATCCAGGTCTATGCAGCTGTCTCGCCACACCATGGCCCATGCGTGGGCGTGGGAGGAGTGCAGGGAGCCAGCAGCGATGAGGGCCAGCCCTTCGCTGTAGCTCCTCTTCACCTCCTCTTCGCTCTCGGCCACGGCCGTCAGGAACTCCCAGGATCGCTCCCGCTCCTCCCCGCGCAACGTCAAGGCTTGTGGCACGGGAGTCCAGAGCATGTGCACGGTGGGACGGGGTCCCCCCTCCACCTCGGGAACCAGCGTCCTCCCGTAGACATAGCTGTGGGAGACAGCAAGCAATGGCGAAAGGGAGAGCGGAGCAGGTGGGACTCCATGCACGCCCACCCACGCAGAGGGGACCTCCCCCAGCAGCTGAGCATCAGGCTCCCGTTCCCACCTAGGACGGGAGCTCCCTTGTCCCCACGCTTCAGCTCGGCTCTCCTCCCACCCCCAAAGTGCAGGAGACTGAAATTCATTACGACTGGTCGGCAGTCGGTCCCCAATCCCGGCAAGCCATTTTGAGAGGTCATCTCCTCCAAACTCACCACCTTCCCCAAACTCATTTCTTTGTAATCACATCTAGTCCTTTTGGTCTTTGCTGCTCTTTTACATGTCAATGTAAACAGTAACTCCGGAGTTGCAAGTAATAAAATTGTTTCTATACTTAATTTTGGGATTAGGTGTGGGTTGGTTTTTTTTACATACCCGCCAGGAAGAAGCAGGTTTGCACAAGCCTCCGTGCTACTCACCACTTCAGTCTAGCTCTAGCCTTATTTTTGCAATTTACTCCCTAATAGTGAGCAGGGCAGCATGCAACAGCCCATGAAAGATGTATCCAGGGCACGGTCACCCCGTGACCCAAACTCACTGTGCTCCCTGGAAGTCTGGTCCTCGGCTCAGGTCCAAGTCCTGGCTCTTTGGCACAAAAGGAGTCTGGAGCTGGACCGTGATGGGCTGGGTGGTGTGAGCTGATCGCTGGATGGTGATGCTGAAGGCCATCAAGTGGACAAGGGAACGGTGAGCGTAGATCTGATGGGCGGCCGCATACTCAGTTGACTGGAGCACATGGCTGAAGGTTCCTGTAAGCACAACGAGAGCCATCAGCCTTTTGAACCACCAGGTCCTGATGTTCTGCCCCAGACTCCCACTTCTGCCCTACCTACTGGTTCCCACCAGCAAAGGAACCGCCTTTCCCAGGTCCAGATCCAAACACAGCTTTTGACTGGACAACACTGTTAACACACTGAATCTGGCCAAGCCACTGAGAAATTATTTGTGCTATAAGACATCCTCTCAGGCTTCGTGATTAAACAGTGTTTGCTGAGCCTGGCTCCAGCAGGGATTGAGATATAGCCTGAAAATCACTCTTATTCTCACGAGAAAGGGGAATTTTCCACTTGCTCCACACAACTTCAGAAGAACAATGCCCTGTAGGCGAACTGAGAGCAAGGAGAAGAAAAATGTGACCTTGTGGAAGAGGCATCACGAGCAAAGAGACTTTTAACTTCTGGAAGAAGGTCACCAGCAGTTAGGGGGAGAGAGCAATGGGTGCCCAAGATGAAGATCTGTCAGGAGGCAGCAGGACAGGGAGACTCAGCCCGTGCTTTGCTGTTTACCCGTCCGGGTGTTCAAGGTGAAGGTCTCGGCCAGGCTCTCCGCACCAGGCACCGTCATCCTAACGTTGACGGGGCTAGGGACATCGGCACGGTGCGTGTCTCCCACCGCCCCGTTGTACACGCCGTTAACGTGGAGGATGTCGCGGTACACACGGGTGCCCAGGTAAGCGTTGGTCACCGTAGCCAGCAGCCGCGGGTCCGAGGGCAGTGATGCGGAGGTGAACACGGCGGGGTCCTCTTTGCCATCAGCCATTCTTACCAACCCGAGCTGCAGAACAGCAGCAGCAACGTCAGGTACAAGGGTTCAACAGACAAAGTCGGGGCAGGATGAGCGCGGCCACGTTAGGCGGCTTGCAGCCCCCGCGTTCGGCCGACATCCGTCTCTGTAACCTTCCCGTAACGCCCCGGGGACGGTGGAGCCGGCTGCTCGCCTGCCTCCGGCCTCGTTGCGTTCCCAGGGTCCCCGTTCCTTTTAGTCTCCTCTCAGATCACCGCCTGTGCCTCTACCAGCGGTTGTTCCCCCCCCACCGAGCCCATTTCCCCCCTCTGCTCCGGCATCTCCCAGCCAAGCCAGGCGGCTCCTCCCGCTCCCCCAAACCTCACCGGCTCATGGGTTTTGTCACTTCTCCAATTCCCCACCCTCTTCCTCTTCTGCTGCCCTCTCTGTGACGCGATCTCACCGGTTTCTCCCCATACAACACAGCCATCTTCCTCCTCTTTCCTCCTCTTCCTCCCTATTGAATACTCTCCTGTGGCCCCAGTGCGTCCCCATCTCCCGGCTCACTGCACCCCTGCGCTCCCCCTCCCGCTTGCATCGCCAGCTCAGCTTCAGTTACTGGCTTCTGGCGTAGGAGCTTTTTATTTCATTTATATACGAGTATATGAAAAGGTATATTTATGTATAAATAGATATTGGAGACAGGTATAAGCAGCACCTTACAAAAGGGAGCTGTAGCTGGCGCCTGGCAATACTAAGCACTAGAATAATACAGAAACGATAAAAATGAGGCGCTGAGAGACCCCGAGCGGAGCCGGAAAGCCAGCCGGGGCAGTGGGAGAGCAGCGAGCGCACGCCCGGCCCTGGCAGCCCCCAAAATCCCTCCCCGATAGCAGCTGGCTGCCGGGGGGGGGCGCGG